TATTTTTTATTTTATTTTTCTACCTACGTGACTTTACCGAAAGAACCAAAGAGTATAGCTGTAATGTAGCCAAATCAAGTGCAGAATGACGTTTAATTAATCTTTTTTAGTCTGGTGGACATTCATTGATGGTGGATCAGAGACCACCAACCTCACTGCACCTGAAAAACCCAGTTTAATGACGGGGCCGCTGGAACCCGGAATTAGGATTTGCGCTTTCAAAACGATGTCGGCTCAGCCCTCTGACCTACCGGGGCCACTCGGCAGCTCCTCCGTATAATGAATGTGAACGCTGCTCGTGATTTACATTTGTAATCCCAGCACAACGTAGAATATGTATTCATTATTGGCCGCTGAAATGTAGGCATCTCTAGGGGGGTCCCCCACGCACGCCCTGACGAATGTTCCTTATTATTCAGTTGTTTTCAGGTGAAAGCATTGGCGATGTCTCCCTGTGGGGCAAATCGCCGAGGAGAGATTTTTTTTGTGTTTTTGACTATTTTGTCAACATGCAAATCAGGCCCCCTGGTGTTGTATTTCTTTGCGGTGGAGTACTCTGATTAAGTTCACATTAGCATGCGACAATGGCGTAAGTAAAATGCAATGCCATACATTTCTGGGTAAATTTTGAATAGGGGGGGGGGGTGCCGAGGGTGGATAGAGTGGTGGTACCATGGTTAGAGTGCTGGTTTTTACCGCGCCGCGCCGTGAACTCGACAAACTGAGCTCAAATTTTGATTTAAAGCTTTCGTGACTGCAGGGATTCATCTTCTTGGTTCTTTCGGTAAAGTCACGTAGAATTGAAATAATAAAACAATAAAAATGTTAAATAATTCTCGCGACGTTTCGGCCACAACGGAAGTAGCCGTCCTCAGGTGGAGAACAGGTCTGTCGAGGAGACAGTCTGACAGACCTGTTCTCCACCTGAGGACAGACTCTGTCTCCTCGACAGACCTGTTCTCCACCTGAGGACGGCTACTTGCGTTGTGGCCGAAACGTTGTGAGAATTATTTTATTATGTTTTATTTTATTATTTTATTATTTAAATTCTACGTGACTTTACCGAAAGAACCAAGAAGATAAACTGAGCTCAGTTCCCGGCGACGGTCGACATCGGTGGCAAGTGTTGTCTTCACCGGCTCGGGGTCCTCCTGCCCCGCTCCCTCGTCAACCAGAACTGTGACCAACGGGGTGAAGTATAACCAAGCAACCCCCCCCCCCACCTCCCCATGACCAAACATGGCATGGGGAGGCCTTCATCCAGCAGTGGATCGACAAACATTGTTATCTATCAAAATAGATTTAATCGTCTTGGTTCTTTTGGTAAAGTCACGTAGAAGAGAAATAATAAAATAATAAAACTAAAACATAATAAAATACAATTCTCACGACGTTTCGGCCACAACGCAAGCAGCCGTCCTCAGGTGAAGAACAGGTCTGTTGGAAAGACAGCGTCTGAATGAAAACCACCAAGCTTGGCAGCGTATATAATATACGTGTTTTTTCACCTGAGGACGGCTGCTTGCGTTGTGGCCGAAACGTCGTGAGAATTGTATTTTATTATGTTTTATTTTTTTTATTTTATTATTTCCCTTCTACGTGACTTTACCGAAAGAACCAAGAAGATGAATCCCTGCAGTCACGAAAGCTTTACATCGAAATTCAAAATAGAGTTGCAGGTAAATGTGCGTGCGTAGCCAGGCTGTGGTGTGCCAGGGGTACGGGTGAATCGCGTGCTCTCAATTAACTCCTCGGAATTCCCTGGAACAAGACGAAAACAAAGCAGGTCCTTGCGGCAAGCATCACGGCCCCGATGGGCTTGCCCCTGTTGTGATAAATGAGCATGCGGGTTAGGGGCTATAAACAAAGCCTTGCGGTACGCGAGCGTGAAATACTCCACCCAATTAAATAATTTTCATGTCCCCAGTTGCTTCGGTCCGTGCCTCCTTATATGCACTGTTCGCCGAGCTTGTATCCATTCCGTTGATCTCTTTTGCCCTGAGGTGTTCGTTTTGATTGTTCTAATTATGCATTATGAAAAGCAAGTATATATCATCAAAATTGGCGGTGTGCTTTTGCAAAGCTGAACTTGGTAATGCAAATGGACACAATCGACAACACTGTGACGGCAGAGCTGCTGTTAAACACCTGATGGTGCTGGGTGTAATCGACAGCGAAACTTAGAATGTAAACTTGTCAGAATTTAGCTTTTCAACAATAGTCAATTTGGAGTGATGTGTTTTGCCCGTAATGTGACAACCTGATTTGATTTTCCCTGTTGGGCGAAGGAGGGCACAGCTGAAAATTGCCATGGTACCGACGCGATCTAACCCAAAAGTTGACTAATTACTGTACTGTGGCCTCAACAAGAAAGCTTTCAATCATTGCGCATTACCTGCTGCACCACACTTGTTCAGAAAGGGCCATTAATTAAGAGGACGGAGAGACGCGTGCCTGGAATTACAATGAGAAGACGGAAAGAGGAAGACATGAGAGGTGGTGGTGGCTTGGGGGAGGCCTTCATCCAACAGTGGATTGACCATGGCTGATGATGATCAAGAAGACACTCATCCATTAAAACTAATTTTGGATCGTCAGCATCTGTGATTTAATCGGACATTATGGCAGCAGTGTAGGCCGAAGCGATGTTGGAAGTCGCCGGGGTTGGGTCGGGATGTCCCCTTGATTTTACCATCACCCGACGCTCTTGAGAAATAAACCCCCTTGTTGAATTGAGGCAAGAGAACTGGGAGGAATTAACTGGGATTTCGTTGGCATTGATGAGGTGAGTAGGAAAGGAGGGGGGAGCTTCCGAGCTTTTTAAAACTTGGCAGCATTGTCTGCCAAAGAGGGAGAGTTGACAGTATTACGGAGGCATGGAATTCTTAGTCTGTCCAGGAATAATTTAGCATATATATGCATTGTTTTACATTGCTGCATTGTTGCTTTGCATTTAGTTATATAATATTCTCTAGAATGCTCCTCGCTTGCTGGCCTCACTATCTATTAACCCATCATGACCCAATACATTTAAATTGTATATATATTTGATCTTTGGCACTATGCACGCATTTTAAATTGTAGTATATATTTTCCTGAAAGTTATTTCAATTGTGCTCTCAGCATCGTGTCACGACACGGGGAAATTTGCATTCAGAGCTCGCTCAGAAAGCCGTGCAACATTGCGCCCATGTTAAGAGCGGCCTGTGGAAGGTGATAACCTAGAACTACTTCTGAGGCCTCTTCAAGTGCACTACCTCAATTGATGGTGCCACTTTTCACTCGTTCCGTTCAACGATTTTGCCCCAAATTGTGATAAAGAATTTCCATTTACATATTTAGGCCTCGAATGTAGTAGTGTGCAATATTAAGTGCAAAAAATTAAATATTTTTTTCTTTTTGCTGCGGTCATCGGTGACGAGTCTCGGAGCGTCATCTCGCTCGACCTGAGCACCCAGCTTCGCCTTGAGTGGCTGCCTGCATTTGAATTCAAGATTTCACACCGTGTCAGAGCTCAGCGCAAGCCACCTATATTGCACGTCATTTTCAATGCGCTGTGTTTTTATTGCTGTTGGCAGTTATATTCATATTTTCCCTTTCCGCTGAACAGCAAAACACGTCTTTCTCGTAATCCCTATACGGTCAACTTTCCCAGAACGCACCCCATCTTGTCAGATCTCGGAAGACTGGGCCTGGCGAAGTGCTTATGATGGGTGACCACGGTGCACAACAGGTGTTATAGGCTGCGACGCTACGTCGTGCTCAGCAGAGGTCATGGGCGATGTTTTCAGGGGGGGGCATGGGGGGGCATGGGGGGGCACGGGGGGGGGGGGCAACGCCCTGCCCAAACTGGACACCTTTAATTGATTTTATTTCTATTATTTCTATTATTTTTTACCTACGTGACTTTACCGAAAAAACCTAAGAGTAGTTATTTTAAGCAGTTTAAAATAAAAGATTGTGAATTAATTATTTGTCTGTATCTGCGATTCCTGGTGCGTGGGACAAAGCAAACCCCTGCCGCCCCCCCCCCCCCCCAAATATAGAAGTCAAACGCCGCCTATGGCAGAGGTCGAATGCGGCAATTTCCATGCAATTTTTGTTCATCTTCTGCTGGGTGAGGCCCTCACCATGCCGCACGCTTCGTGGTGGGGTTCATTTAACCATACTTCACCATGCCGGTCAGTCCGGGTTGGTGATGGTGACCGAGCATAGATGTGAGCATAGTACAGTACAACTATGGCTTTTTGTTGCGCTGCGCTTTGCTGCTCACAGCGTAGGCTCTTGTAATGTTGTTATTGTCGGTCTGATGCTGCCCATTGCTGGGCAAAGGGGGGCTCCCCATTCTCTCCCCAGTCCTCTCTTTCCCAAGTGGCTCCTGTCCAGTTGCGGCCCGCTTGACTGGAACGCCGTCTTACTGCTGCTTTGTCCTCCGCTGTCTCCCTCTCTGCCTCCTTCCTCTCACTCCGCTCCGTCGTTAACTTTGTCGCTCGGTGGCGAGATGTCATCTACCTCGCCTGGTATGCAGGAGGTCGCGGGTTCGATCGCGGCCCTTGTCGCCCGTTGTATGTTTGGAGTTTGCGTGTTTCTCTCTCCCCATGGCCGCGTGGATTGCTCTCCGGGTGCTCCGGTTTTTCCTTCCACGTTCAGAAACATGCGTTTGGAGTATTTGGCTGCTATAAATTTTCACGTGATGAGCCACTTCGTTGAGCTATCATGTGTGGCCAGGTCACTTCTGAAAAAGAACTACATAGTTCAGCGGGTTTTACCTGGTAAAATTAAAAATTGTTTCGTTTTTAGTGCTGCCACATTGCAAATCCATTTGTATTTCTTTAACAGCAACCTCAGTGACACCCCTATTCGTCATTTTATTTCCACCATTCCAAAAGCCCTATCTCTTTGCTGCGTACAATGCACAGTACGGCGTCAGGCGGCGTATGACAGCGGGTGGTGACCCGTGGAATGCTCACGGCGGTGTTTCACTCCTCCTTTGTCTGCAGTCGGAGCTGATCAAGAACGTGAGTGGCCTGGAGAAGCCGTTCCTCTTCACGAGGCATGTCCACTTCCTCGACTTCACCAGGTGCTCACCCCCCCTCACCCCGGGGCTCCGAACCGCTCCGTTCGTTGCCAGCGTGCAAATTCATTTTCACTAGGAAGTTGCCCAAGCCCAAGCCACAGCAGCGCGCGCACGTGTTTATCGTTCTCGAGGTTTAGCATAAATGTACAAATGTACGTTGAACTTCTTTCGCACCGTACGTACCCAACCGTGCGAAATCGGAGGTGGCGGGTGGGGGGGAAGGACAACAAACTAAACGCAAAAGGCTGAAGAAGCCAAACTAAAGGAATGTATTGCAGGCCTTAAGAAGAAGTGAGAGAAACTTCCAAAGAAATGTCCTTGAAGTTTGCCTTGTAAATGATTTATGTTGCAGGCTTGTGAGTGGTATGAGGCCGTATCACCCCGCGCGTAAACAATGTGGCTTTTATTTTCTAAAATGGGAGCCCTGGATTTGAACCTAGTCCTGGATTTGAACCAAGAATCTCAAAGGTGCTGGGCTCAGAGCTCTGACATTGGCATAAGCATTTCTGTTACTTGAGTCACTTACAAATTCCTCCCAATCTGCCCTTAGAAACCTTCACAAAAACCGACAGGCAAGCGAAAACAACGTGGACACAAACAAACAAACGCGTTGGAGCTGTGTAAATAAACAAGCGCTCTCCGCCACACGCAAGCACCTTGATTGGTGCCCGTTCAGCAGCAGTAGAATCAAGAACCGCACTTTATTTCTTGTTTACAATGTACGTTCAAGCTGGTCACGTGTAACTTTGACAAAGCACCCGGCGTGCACATCGGAAGGTCGTGAGTTCAACACCTGGTCGGGGGGGAGGGGGGCAGAGGTCGGGTTAATGCACACCCACAATCCTGGCAGGTTTCATGAATAGCAAAAAATTGTATGCCACTTTTTCTTTCAAAGACGTTCATATTTAAAGCTTTCGTGACTGCAGGGATTCATCTTCTTGGTTCTTTCGGTAAAGTCACGTGACTTTACCGAAACAACCAAGAAGACGTTCATAATGTATTGATCCGCGGATGGATTTGCCTCTGCCTTAGGAATGTATAAATTTAAATCACTGGGGTCAGATACAGCGGCAATAAGTATAACCAGTAAAAACAAAGTTTTTCACTATAAATCCTTTATATGCGTGGCGGCGAGAGTCCTCTCGTCCTCTGGCTTGAGATGGCTGCCACCTATGGGTCAGATGATTGCATTGCACCATTAAGCAATTGGTAATTAAATATATTTTTGTCCTAAAAAGTGTAAAATTTTGGGAAAAAAATTTCACCAACATTAATTGTCACGCACAACGAGTCTGTGTGGAAAATGTCAGCTCGATTGGATCACGAGAAGTGGGTTATAAAACGACCGAAAGATTTGCACGGTCCTAAGCAAGCAAGCGAACTTAATATAAAGGATTTAAAACATGAGCACCCACCTAGTGATCGGCATGCGACCATCCAGTGGCTGCACTCGGCAAAAGCAAACCGAGCAGCAGCATCTCATGGGTGGGGTGGGGGCGGCTCCACAAAATATGAGCTCAGATCCTAAACAACAACAATGAGCTCATCACCATTGGTACCTCATTTGCCAGTAAAAAATATGATAATTGTTTTTTTACCCTTTTATCTGGCAACAAAACTAACACCTTTTTTTACGAGGAGTCATGTTTGCATAGACCACAATACCTGCAGTCATATATTTTTTGTTTGCATTATGACTGCAGGTATTGTGGTCTATGCAAACATGACTCCTCGTAAAAAAAGGTCTCAGTTTTGTTGCCAGATAAAAGGGTAAAAAACCAATAATCAATGAGTTCATCGTCACAAAGACAATCGTTATCTTCTTATCTACAGCTTGCCTGCAGCCGTCTTGTCTCACCCCGCAGTGTCTGTCACTTGTCACCATCCTGGTTTGTGTCCGCCCACCATTCCTGTCTCATCTGCAGCCCCCCATCTCGTTGCACCTCCGTCTCGCGTTGACATCTCTCTCATTGCACTCCACTTCTCTCTCTGTCTCATACCTATCTCTCTTCTCCCCATCTCTTGAGGTCTCTGTATCTCTACTGGCGTCTCACTAGAAGTTTTATACATTTTAAAGGGGGTGCCCCCCCGCCCCCAGTGGGCTAGCATGGGGGGAGGGGTGGTGGGGTGTCGGCAACCAAAACAACAACAAGGGGCGTCATTTGTTTCGAATTCCGTGGGGGGGAAAAACTCAACCTACCAAGAGCCACAATGCACTGTGGTTAATACGAGAGGGTGGCCCTTGGTAAATGACTGTCACGAAGCAGCAGTCCTCAGTGAGCCGCACGCAGCTCCAGAGTTGCAGGTTGCCAATCCCTGCCCACGGTAAACTGGACTTCCATGGTGAACTGGACTTCCATGGTGAACTGGACTTCTGTGGTGAACTGGACTTCCACGGTAAACTGGACTTCCATGGCAAACTGGACTTCCATGATGAACTGGACTCCCACGGTAAACTGGACTTCCATGGTGAACTGGACTTCCATGGTGAACTGGACTTCTGTGGTGAACTGGACTTCCACGGTAAACTGGACTTCCATGGCAAACTGGACTTCCATGATGAACTGGACTCCCACGGTAAACTGGACTTCCATGGTGAACTGGACTTCCATGGTGAACTGGACTTCCATGGTGAACTGGACTTTCATGGTGAACTGGACTTCTATGATCAGGGGTCGGCAACCAAAATAACAAGAAGCACCATTTTTTAAATTCGAATTTCAAGAGCCCGCACTGCACTCCTCTTAAAGAGTCGCACGCGACTCCTGAGCCGCGGGTTGCCAAACCCCTGGGGCTAGCAAAGCCTCCTCTGCCTTGGCGCTGAAGGTGCTGACGGCAAACAGAGAAAAATCCACGCCAACGCTTCCCCGCTAGGAGAGCCCCAACGAGACTGCCCCTCTGCAAGCACAGTTGTCGGCCGTAGGAGATTTCTGGGGAACCCTGAAAGTGCCGCACTATTCTCATTATTTGTGTGCTTGTTCCACGGTGTGTTTGTTTTATTTGATGCCCAGCTTGGCGAGGCCCTTCAAAGGCTGCCCAGTTTGGGGCCTGCCTCAGCCTTATCCCTGCGTGTACCAAAGCAGTCTCACAGCTTGCCTGTCAGCCGGTCACACGTGCTCGAATGTATTCGCTCGTCCCCTTGGACGTGAGGACGACAATCGCCTGTTCTTCTTTCAGGAACTGTTGGTGGGGGGTTTTTTTCTTTTCCTGTTGCATCGTACGCAAGGCCGAGTCCTTTTTGTACCCACGTCGTCCGCGTGTGTTCTCTGAAACGTTCGTGCCACGCCGCACGCGCTGGGCCGACCACGGGGAGCGGGGCCGGTGACCAGCGAGAACGCCGTGACCGACACGCGCACTCGCAGACGGACAATTTCAGTTGTAATCAATGTTTCGAGCGTGGATTTACCGAGTGCCAACGCCCCACGACCATTATTCCGAGCTGCAAGGAGGGTGGGGTGATGGGGGTGTTAATTGTGAGAGCCTGGGAAGAGGGAGGAGGAGGGAGAAGGGAGAAGGGGGAAGGAGGAAGAGGAAGGAGGAGGACATCACAATGGAGGAGTGATGAGATCGCTTCGTAACAGCGTTGATGCCCACATTACTGAGTGGAAAATAAAATAAACAAATTACTGGAGCTTGGGGGGGGGAGGGGGAGGAGGGGTTGTGCATGCTTCCAATTAACATTAAGACACATTGATTACGCCGCTCAATTTGCATATCCCTTAAATTAAACAAATGTAATCGTTTCCACCACACTTCATTTGGGCTATTAAAAAAAAAGCAGCACGTGTGTTTGTTTTCAAATGATGTGTTATGTGCGTGGAATGCAGCTGAACTTTGAATTGTAGGAACTGGAGCGTTGGGGAACGCCCCCGCTTTCCTCAGCAGATGAAAATAATCGTCCCCGGCGTGTTTTCGGGTTGTGCCGCATTTTTTGTTCGGCACGGTGCCCGACGTTACGCTCCACATCCTCGGAGCTTCTTTGAAATCATGAGAGAGCTACACAGCAAAGACAAAGATCCCTCCCGTATAGCCTCAACAGGCTGTTGGGGCGCAGAACGGCACACGAGGGGGTGGGTGGCTAGCACCACACCCAGCCACCTTTGTCTCCCCGACAGCGATGTTTACACACAGCACCAGGTAGCCATTTGAGGCTGAGTCAACCTAGGAGAGGCACAGGACCGGTTCAGAAAATTGCCACTGGTGTTGGCCGTGAGCAGGAATCGAACTCTGGTCGCCAGGTTTGTCTTGGACTACGCTAACCGCTGCGCCACCGCTCCCTTACTCGGCACAACCGCGAACTCATACGCAGCGGGCAATGAGACTGCTCAGATTAACCTGGCATGTCACGGATTCATTGGTACGGATCGATTCTTACACTCAACGCGACACGCGTCAGAGTGTGCGTGTGTACGTGCGTATGAATTCCTTTTGACTTACGCAGGTTTCAAACTCAAATTAAATGATAATTTTCGTGTTGTTCTGCACTGGTTCCACCTTGTATGTATGTTTAACTTATCTCGCCAAACCCGCACTGCGGTTAGATATCATTCGCAGCCCACAGTACGTGCCCTTGTCCAGCGGCGAATGGACAATAACGGTCCGTACCTGTGCGTATATTCGCGCATACCTCTAGTTAAGCGGAATTTATTAGACATAACGAACGAGGCAGAAGAATATACTCGAGAAGTGGGCAAAGCAAACGAGACGCTGCCTAACGAGATGAACAAGGTATCGACCCTTCGAATTGAATTCTGGTACCTAAATCATCCTGAACGGCGTAGCTTGTCGGAGCTCTACGATTTTTTCGCAGCTGACATTATGGTACCCGTTGAAGCGTTGGGTTTACCGTATAAATTGCACTCATTTTATTCTGACTTCCCGTATCTTGTCCTGACGATGCTTGGCATAGTTTCGAGTGAAACGTCGCGTCCAATTGCCACATTTCGGCGTCAGAATAGTCGCTCAACTTAACCGGTGCGCGAGCTGAAGCAACAATGCGTAAT